GACGAGACGCCCGAAGCCAAAACTGAATCGTGCCTCTATTGTACGGGCCACAATCAGCAAAGAGTTCCTTAATCGCCGGCTTTGGATAAGATCGCCATCCTTTCATAAAATCTACGGCGCGGTAGTGCCGCGTGAAGGCTACGCGCGATTATGCTGAGGAATCCTGAACAAAACGTATGGAATCCGGGATCGGGAAGCATCTGGATTGTCATCACGGGGCACCGCAGAAACGGAGCGACAGACCAAAAAAGATCCGAACGAAATCGACCGCAAAACGGAGACAGACTCAGAGGCGCGAGTTCGTAGTATGGCGCCTCTTTAGCGAATTAAATTTCCCCCCTGCCCCGCCCTCCTCCTAAAGGCGACCGGGACGACTGTAGGATAACACTGCAGCTAACAGCCTGCGGAATTTCTCAGCTAATGAGCTTCTCTCCGCCTTCGAGTCCGCTCGTCTTCGGAGCGTTTTGGGCCGAGAAATGACCTTGCATAGTAATAGACCTCATTGTGGTGTCTATTGGGGGCAACTTCCAAAAAATCAAGCCTGGCAGGCATTCGAGTAAAGATATTCGCGAGGCCCTCAGGCTTCCCTGAATCGATTCTGTGTAAATTACTTGGGCGAACAGAAATATATAAAATAATAAAATGCCTCACCTGGAGGAATTACGTCACGCCCAGGGATTCGCTTCGAACAGACTTCCTTAGGCAAGGTTCGGCTCGATTATCATGCGAGTCTCTGCTTGTGTGAGTGGGAGCTCCGGGGAAGGCATCCTCGAGCGTGCCATTTTCTACCACTCGACTTGCAACGTCAGTCGACAAACACGTATTGACACTAAAAGACAAGAGGCGTCCATCCGCTTATTCTCCTCGTTTACATTCCTTCGTGTCGTCTTCCTCCCCAGTATTCAATTAGGGAGCTGTGTAGGCATCGAATCTCGGTTCCCCAAGCTTTAGCGTCGAAAGCTCAAGGAGGAGCAAGGTTGTGACGCGCCGAAAATTTCTTGCGGGGATCTAGTCCTGATCTAGGTGGTGAGTGTTGCACGCGGAATCGCGAGCAGAGCGCTCGTGTTTTTTATACCTCGAGGCTCCTCACGAATCCTCGCAGAAGACCCCCCCCCCCCAGAAAGGAGGAATCATCGTGCCGCGACAGAACTTATCGTTTTCTATGAACGATAGGCATCGGAAGCGCAATCCGGCATAGTTTTTGGAAGGGTTGGGGCGAGGAAAATTTGTTTTCGTTTAGCCATTCCGCCCCCACTTGGCATGCTAAGAGCTCAAAAGAAGACGAATGTGATACGCGGAAATCACGTCTCAAGTGCTCGCTGCCTCCTAGCTGACCTTAATTCGGTGACACGGTGAGATAAATGGTCGCCGCGACCGACTCCCCGAAAACCGCTGGAGGCAAAGAAACCCTAAAGACGTTACTGCAGCAGTCTCGATGCCGGAGCGGGAAGTTTTTGCCTGACACCGACAACAGAGTCGTCGACGGTGCCGAGTGCGGGTCGATGTGTTAGCGAGCGAGTGTGCAGAGCCCGAGAGTAGGTTCCTGTGCCACTAATAGCGAGCTCTGTGATCCTCATCGCTCGATCCTGACCATCGTATTTCCCTAATGATTTCCGCGGTTATAACGAAATATGCCATTGGAGTGGTCATCGAGAGACGGTGGAAAAATTCCGCAATGATGTTTGCCAGGATAGAGGAATATTACGCTCGTTAATCGAGAGATCATCGATCCCAGCGACGATTCGTGAGGAAGCGACGAGGAATGCCCGGAAATCAGGCCCTCGAATCCATGCTATCGAGAACGAAAGAGGTTTTCCGCTGTCCTGTCCTGCAGGACTGGATCCAGCGATTGTGGCGGGCCGTCTGAATGTTATTGTGAGGGAGGGAGGGAGTCGCTCTTCTCGGAAGGTGGTCACAAGATGATGATGATGGAGCCTTCATTTCCTTCCGATAAACGTTTTTCGATACGAGACACTGTTTCTGTCTCCGCTCCGCGACGCTTGTCTGCAACCCATCCGCCCGTCTCGTCTGCCCGCGTGTTTCTCGGAAAGTTTCCTGAAAGAGAAGGTTCACATAGCCGGGCTGCAGAGAGGAATCTCGGCGATGATATTCTCGTCCGTTCCATCTCACAATAGATCGATCGAGAGGATTCAATTCTATCAGACACAGCGGCAGATGAATAGCGAGCTCTTGGCAGGGACTTTCCAATAGGATGAATTTCGTCGGATGCTGGAGGACCGCGTCTTCTGCGGCTTGTACGGCGGCTTCGCATCCCTGTTACGCGCACTCTATCATATTTTCTTCTGCATGAAGAAAATCTAACGACAATGCACGGTGAGGAGGAAGGGAGGGTAAAGCGGTCGAATGGGAGGCCCTGCCTCAATTTCTGCACATCAGCTCCCACCTGAGTATGTTCGATGATCACTGCGGCAGCTGGATGAGCTCATCATGGGGGCTCAGAACCAAAATTCTCCGGAGACAGTCCGGAACACGTAACACCTGCAAAGCAGACCTCTAAGTCTTGTGCAGATAGCTTGTTCTGTTCTCCTCCAGCTCGGATACCTGCGGACACTCGTGATCAGCCTAGCACCACACCGTTGGGCCGGGGTTTTTCAAGTCGAGTCCGGGAGGTTTCAAGCGAGTCCGGAAGGAGGGCCGATAGACCGATTGACGATGCTTATGCGGTCGTCTCGATCGCGTAGAAATTCCTGAACGCTCGAATTTCGTTGATCATAGCACGCCGAGTATTCAGCGGGTCGATGATTTGTGTTCTAGATCCAGTCTTCTCGGGCCATCCCAATGGTGATCAGTGATCACTAACTAATCACTTGATCCCAATATCGCAAAGTCTGTCCGAACCAATTTTTGGCGCTTCCCTCCTCCGAAGAGACTCCGACGTTCTTTCAATCGATGCTCGACCAGCTCAAAGAGGTCAAAATATACGGGGTGGGGTTGTATGAATTCCCCATTTTGTTTTGCTCCTAAAATCCGAACCAACTTGTACTCTACAAGCGGCTTCGGGGCATTCTTTCCGTGAGATTCACCTCGACTCGCAGTTATCGTCATTTTCTAGCAAATGTGAAGCCTTTCAAAAATGATGAACGGTCTGTGACCGAAGCAATTTTCGGCATGCCAGTCACAGACAGACAGTCATTGCGATTTCATTCAATAGGGGGATATTGTGATACTCTCCAGGAAGGGCCCTCTCACCACAGCGAAGCCGCGCCGTCACGGGAAGGGGGATGGACAAGTCGGATAGGAGCTACGAGCGGCTCAATCCGTTTCATGATAACGCGCTCCGATTCACAGCGTTTCATTCGGAAAGTGGTCATTTGTCACGGAGGGTCTCGGTCTACACCTGGGCTCGTCAATTACGCCGGGCGAGTAGAGCAACCGTATATTAATAATAGATTAGAGTATGGGTCCGAGAGCTCGCGAAGCCAGACATGTCCCATCCTTAACTATCCCTCTGCATCACCGGATGCATTGGTCCTAGGCAGCTAATGAATCCTCGTCTGCTGCGCAACACTACGAGATCATCCTCTGGCACGAAGTTTCCTTCCGGGATTAATGTTGAACTCCCGACCATTGGCTATCGAGCCTCAGGAGGTGACAAAAGAATCCAGCGCTGCGCTGAACACTTCCGCTATTGCGGTTCATCTGATCTGGATCTTGTGATTTTGTTCAGCTCGCTGCGAGAAAACGAACGAGGCTAAACTGTTCCCGGATTAGGGCTGAGGTGTTCATTTGCTCGTATTTGCACCCCAGCGGTTCCCGAGCTGAAACTAATGGTGAAGTCTGAGCATTTCAGAACTTTTCCGCCCCCGACTACTCCGGGCTGCCCGGGCTCGGAAGGGCAGCCGAGGGGGATGGAAATCCCCGGATTACGGAACCATGGGGCGCTCATTCCGAAGCGGCGCAAATGACTGAGGGCGCAGAAAACCTCTTGCCCTCTATTCACGCTCGAAGCCTCGAGCTGTGCTGCTGGTGTCATGTGAAATTTCTCCGGGCTTTCCCGGCTTCTCATGGTCATAAGGGAGAAGCACGCGATGGAGCTCACGGAGCAAGTATTTCTGAAGCAATCAGTGCAAAACAAAAAAACGACCTCGTCTAACCCCTCTCGAAAGTTCACAGGTCAGCGATTCATTCTCGACACGACGGGAGAATCCTGTCAACGCTGGTTAGCGACGACGCGACGTGTCACATGCTTACGTTCCGTCGAGGCATCAAAACTTACTCGGGAATCGAGCAACAGAGCCTTCGCAATCGCAATGATGAACTCAGCGATGGTATTTCTGGCTCCTTAGACACACTTCCCCTGATGGTCATGTGCAGCGCGACCCCGAGTCGGATTCAATCTCGGGAATGTTAGCAGGACGATGGGCTTATTGCGGGCAATATTGCCCTTAAATGCTTGGCACCGCTGTGTTTCTAGCAAAGCGATCATGAGAGCTTTGAAGTTCGTCGTCCCAATGGTATCGTCTTGAGCATATCGAAAGCTTCGCCCCAGTTATAAATCACCCTGGATTCGGTGTACAGGGGTCCTCGGATTCCGAAGTCTGAGAATCAAGTAATGTACTCTCCAGTTCTAGAATGTCCGCACTTCGCGAGACAGGTGCACAGGACTCCTATTCCTTGCATCTGAGATCGGAGCGGTGGGAATAGAAGTTGAGCCCGTCAGCTTCAGAGGTCTCCGAAGATAGCAAGGACGCTCTGTGACATCTTGTTTGTGGCGCTCTCATTCGGGGTCCAAAACGGGGGAAATTGATTACTTGGCTCATCGACGGGAGATGCGCAGGCAGCTCGAGATTCTCGCTCTCATGAATTACGTAGAGGTGAATATCTTCGATGGAGCAGGCTGTCAACTAGGTTTACTTCAGGACGAAAATGAGCGCTCCGTGAGCAGAGATGACTTAGAGAGCTCATTTTTCGGATGTTTCCCATGTTTCGCACTCGCGTCTCCCCCTGATTCATTGTAATGTACGAGAAGAGAGGAACACAGGTTGAAGGGACTTTATTTATGATATAAAATCAAATGAACAGAAAATGGAAAGGCTGCGCGAGACGGCCGACCTTGCGCCCGTCTCGAGGAGCGTGGAGCTCTTGCGAGCTCTGGTGATGTGTACAGAAAGGAGAGAAATCGCTGCTACTATTCCCCTAATGGCGTCCTCTGAAACCGCGTCGTTTCGGCTCCTTCACGAAACACCAGTCGACCTTGATTTCTTGATCGAAAATAGTCGAATTGTTGAGCTCATTCTTGGCTTTCTGAGCTTCGGCATACGAGCTGAACTCCACCAGGGCGTATCCTGGAATCGAAGGGGACGTCAGAAATAATCGCCTCGCGCCGGCAGCCACTACAACACGTGCTGGAGTATTCGTTCGAGAGATCCAATGATATTCGGAAACCCGGGAGTGATGTTCATCCATGGAAAACTGCAGATTAGGTCCATATTCAGATTATCATTCACCTTTCAGGAATCCAGTACGGCGGTCAAGATTGAGATGCAAATTCTTGATCTCGCCATAGTCGGCAAACTTCTGGTGAATGTCGTCCTCCTGTGCCTCCTCATTGACGCCGGTAACAATCAAGATCCAACCTTCGACTGATCTGTGAATTCGAAGGAATGAGTTGATATGCCCACAAAAAGAAAGGATTCTCAGTGTTCGCAATCATAGACGGTGGTGGAAGCCTCCGAGCGACTGATACCGTCAACGCGAGGGTGGTAAAATAAGAGGGTGGCCTTTACCTCTGGGGACCGGGACCCGACTGATCGCCGGCGTCCGCTTCCATGGCCTCGTAGTCTCGGATGTCTTCGCGTGCGGTGCCATCACCCCGGAATCCTCGACCTTTACGTCGTTTGACTCTTTCTTTCAACTTGTTCACATTTTCTGAAAATTCGAGATCAGGGAAATTTTAAACCTCATTCCCCCCTGTTCGGAAGCAATAGAAACACGAGAAGTGCCGCTCAGAATGAGAGCAATGTTCGGTGTGCAACAGTGAATGCGCGATTATGTCTTTCCTGTCCAGCAATACAATGTACTGCTATGCGGAGACTTCTGACTGATTCTAGTCACAGGGCCGGAATGGCGGTCGATTCCACATTTCGGTGTTTTCCCGAGCTATGTGATAGCTTGTTCGACCAAAATCTCCGCCGGAGCTCCGGAAGTTGCCTTTAGAGGGACCGCTAAAGTTACTCACGTTCATCGTCTTCAACTTCATCTTCGAATTCACCGGCCTCGCCTTGAAGATCTAAAACGTCCGACATGATTTTCTATTACGAATAATTGAACGCACTGGTCACAAAACACAACGCGCTCTCACGGTGCGGGCTGTCTGCCTCTTTGTGTCGGTGTGGTGGGGAGTGTTGTGGTTGTGAGGCTGAAGAGAGAGAACTCGCGATGCGGCTTTCGCGGGAACGAGCTCCGTACTGTCTTTAGAAACTCGGGGCATGGAGCTAACGCGCCTCATATAAGTGCTATTTGATCGTACACCATGAGCCTGAGACGACGTAAGATGAGCTCTGGCTCACCTACCCATCTCCAGATGCCTACTGGACACTCGTGAGGCGAGCACCGGAGAAGTCTACGGAAGCGTTCAGATATGGCAGATGTGGGCCATCATGCTTCACTGTGAATCGTTTCATCGATCCGCTCTCGAGCTCAAATCGTGGAATTCCATGACCGAACATTGAGACCGAAGGGGAGCTTGACTGATGTGACGCTTCTCCCTGGAAGAGGACGCGAATGGAAGCAGAGCCAAAATTGCTCGCGGCGAAACCCACAGGGCAACGGAAATCGCGCGAACGGAAGATAAAGTACAAGACAGACCCCCTCACGAAGCGTCCGAATGGATTCCCGGTGAAACGAGGGAATTTTTTTCCAATTCAACTATCGGTTCCTCGCGGACATGGGGGTCGTACAGGTTCGCTGCAACGAACACTGATCTGAAGGGACCGTCCCTGCTGGCGCCTGCTCGCTCGTTGTGACGAGACTGAGCAGTATTGCTCGGAGCTCCGTATCTCGTATCACATGATTCGCCCCGGAACGAGATTCTTCGGAGCGTAGCTCGCCGGCGTAACTCAGTTGAGCTACCAGCAGCAGAATCGCACGGTCGCCCGTCTCAACGTCTGGAGAAGCTCACCCAGAAAGTGACCTGACTGGACAGCTCCAAGGAGCCTCATCCTGCGTCTCCTCTAGCCCCTCTAAGCGGACGGCTTCTAGACTACATCAGCGTCAACGTCATTAGAGTAGCCCCTGAAAGAGGTTTTTAAGATTCCTCGATTAGAATATGAGATCAGGCGGTTCCGCTCGTCCCTCCCGGATCCTTCCTGTTTCTTGCGCCGGGCGTACGCGCAGGTATCGATTTGCATCCCCGGCGATGCGCCCTTCTCCTATTTCCTCGCATTGAAGCCTTCCTTTGGCCACGCCTCGAGCCTTTTCGGGATCGAAGGGACGCGGTCAGAATCCGGGAGAGCCGCCCAGCTCCGTCCAACGACGCAGTCAAGATCATCGACACCACGTCGATGTCGAGAGTCGCGGGACCTCATATCATTTGACTCTTGTTCTCGCAGTCCGCGACCTGCTGTATTCGTATCAGTGAAGAATAACTTTCCGTAGCGTTCAATCGTAATCAGACCGCGATCCGCAATAGAGAACTTACTGTGGATCAGCCCCAGCGGCGGCGGAGTTCGAGCGGGTGGTGTAAACAACAGCAGCAGCCAACCCATCGTCTGCTTTCCGCCATAAAAGGCGACACTCGCGAAGCTTCCCAAACTCAAACCCGGTTGCACGTGCACTTCTGTCATCATTTGAGTTCTTAGCTGTCGGAAAAAGCGACAAAATGAGGTCCAGTATGCCAGGTAATGACGGGGAAGGAGAGGTCGGAGTACGGTAGATTTTCAGGCGGATCGTGCAGTTTGAGGCACTTAGGGTTCAGAACTCCGGGGCGCGGTGTGTCAGAATCCAAATCGACTCCAAAGGAGGAATTCAATATTTCGAGTGTCCGTTTGTGACAAGCGACGAGATATCCCGAGAAACTGTCGAGGATAATTCTAAATGTCATAGGCGGATCCCTGACTTCTAGATGCGGGGCACGGACAATCCTTGGCGAGCCAAAGGCGGAGGATCATGGAACGAGCCTTGTTCGCGGGTTTCAGTCGATAGTGAGCAAGCCGTGGCGATATCCGGGTTGGGAATTCTGTTTTCACGACCGACGCGGTCTTCTTGGGGATTCACGGGGAGCGCAAAGTCGAGCTGAGGGCTCTTGACGGCTTCTTGCCGGTCCTCCGAGGAAATCATGTGATCCTCTAAACAAAACAGAACGCTCGCATGGACTGAGGAGAGGCTTCGGAGTTTCACCTCGGCCCTTGATCCTCCGGTCCAAGTGCATCAGACAAATTTCTCCTATCCCTGAAAACAGGGTATGAAATTATGGCTATGGAATTCTAACGAAACGTTTTCCCCTTAGGAATAGAGTCCATGATGAAGGATGGCACTCGGCACTTCTCGGGTGTCGATGAGGTCGTCGTTCGGAACATAGAAGCTTGCTCGGAGCTCGGACAAACGTTGACATCGGCTTTCGGACCCAATGGTCTGAACAAGATTGTCATCAATCACATCGAGAAGCTCTTCGTCACCAACGACGCCGCCTGCATCCTCAACCAACTCGAAGTTCAACATCCAGCAGCCAAAATGCTCGTCATGGCTTCGCAGGTGAAGGACAGCATTGATTAACGAAATGATTATTGTCGGAACGATTAGAGGAACCTTGGGGATCTAAACGTACGCGTAACGAGTTGACATCACCATCTATTTCGTTCACCCTCCCTAATCGAAGACGTCTTGGCTTCGCAGATGCAAGAAGCCGAAGTCGGCGATGGAACCAATCAAGTACTGATGCTCGCTGCAGCTCTCCTCGCCGGTGCCGAAGACTTGTTGAGAATGGGGATCAAGCCCGTCGAAATCGCCGAAGGATACGAGATCGCCGCCAAGAAAGCCCTGGAGATCCTTCCCGAACTCTCAGTCGATGAAATCAAAGATCCCAGAAACGAAACAGAAGTCAAGAAAGCAATCCGCGCCGCTCTCATGTCGAAGCAACTCGGCCACGAGGACTTCTTGGCTGACTTGGTCACGAAGGCCTGCATTTCAATCATTCCCGAACAGACGACATTCAACGTCGATAACGTCCGCGTTTGTAAAATTCTCGGCGCTGGAATCACGCAGAGCAGCGTCATCCCCGGAATGGTGTTCAAACGTGTCGTTGAAGGCGACGTCACCAAGCAATCGAATGCGAAAGTTGTAGTCTTCACCTGTCCCTTCGATTCGATGCAGACAGAGACCAAGGGAACAGTCCTGATCAAGAGCGCCCAGGAGTTGCAGGACTTCAGCAAGGGCGAAGAAGGCATCTTGGAGGAGCAAGTCAAGGCCATCGCAGACACGGGCTGCAAGGTTGTTGTGACCGGTGGTAAAGTCGGCGAGTTGGCTCTCCATTATCTGAACAAATACAATCTCATGGTCGTCCGGCTGCCATCGAAGTTCGACGTACGACGAGTTTGTAAAATCGTCAACGCTACCCCCTTGCCCAAGCTGTGCACGCCGACCCCAGAAGATCTCGGTCTCTGCGACTTGGTGTACGTCGACGAAATCGGAGACACTCCGGTCGTAGTCTTCAAGCAGGAAGGCCGCGAGAGCCGGATCGCGTCCGTGATCATCCGAGGATCGACCGACAACTACATGGATGACGTCGAAAGGGCCATCGACGACGGTGTGAATAATTTCAAAGCTCTGACCCGGGAGGGACGTCTAGTCGCCGGTGCGGGAGCCTTCGAGATCGAATTGGCTCGCCGTATCCAAGCTTTCGGCGACACCCTACCGGGCATGGAGCAGTACGCCGTCAAGAAATTCGCTGACGCCGTAGAATGCGTCCCGAAAGCTCTTAGCGAAAATTCAGGCATCAAACACATGGACATCCTGACGAAGTTGCAGGCGGCTCACCACGAAGGCAAAACCAACGTCGGTTTCGACATCGATGGAAGCAACGATAGTGGATTCTTGGTTGATGCTGTGGAGAAGAAGATTTTCGATCTCTTGTTGACGAAGCAATGGGCTCTGCGGTACGCCGTGGACGCCGCGACGACTGTTCTCAAAGTCGATCAGATGATCATGGCGAAGGCGGCAGGTGGCCCGAAACCGAAAGAGAACAAGAACTGGGACGAAGACTGAGTGAAGTCGCTCGTGTTGGTATAACTTATATTGAATATATGAGCTAATCATCAGCCATCGTCTACCATTTCGTGTCCGAGAAAGAATAAAAGATCCTCGGCGTGGTAATTCACTGAGTGAGACTTCTGCCTGAAAATCTGACTTGCTTATCTCCTTGCTTCGGGTCGTTTATCATTCAACGACTCTCGCCGATATACGCGTCGGATATTCATACATCAAGTATATCGTCGGCGCGAGAGAGCTGTACTCGTCTGAAATGGTCTCCTGGGTTGTAGAGATGAGGAGGCATAGGTCTGGGCTTGAATCTCGAAAGGAGCGGATTGAACAGATTTTGGAATAAAAAAGCGGTCACCCGTCGAGGGAGCCCCAATAGACCGCATACCGAGGAAGCTGCTCGATCCGAGTACGCACAGCTCTCGGATACCGGTCGGAGCGCGCGTCATGCTGCAATTGTTCCTTAGAAAATTCCCTCATGATGCAGGAATCATCAATGGGTCTGAAGATCGCCTCGATCAATCTTATCGCTTCTCCCGGAATACGTGGGGAGGCCCCGGGTCTCAACCTATGACGTGTTCCAGCGTGCCCGATCGCGCTATTATGACTCGTTTGAAAGGTGCGCGCATCGCGGAATAATTTCGAAAACTCCGAAACCGAGGAGACGAGGAAGACTTCAACGGGCTCACGTCCCAAGGTTCCTCTTCCCGTCGTCCTTGAAATGTTGCCATCTGTTGCCTCCCTTCTATTCTTCCTCGAGACACATCTCGATTCTGAGCGTTCCGAGGAATATTCATTATAGGTTTTCGGAATGATTCCCCGTCGGTCATCGTACTCCTGCCGTCCTCTTCTCAAAGTCGTCGCATGAGGAGTTCTTCTGTAGTGTTCTGAAATTGGTGGAAGTTCTGCATCCACAAGCGGAACAATGATCACGCGCGTTTTACAGAAGAGTGCCTCAGCAGCTCGGCTTTCTGTTCAGCGGAGACCGCAGAGCTCCCAAGCTTCAGGTGGAGGAGGTGGCGGAGGTGTTCTGAAATTGGCCCTCGGAGTCACCACGGCTGCCGGTACGTTTTTCCGAAAGTTTCCTCTGCCGCGAGAAGCCGCTGACTCAATACGTAATGTCCACGCGGGAGAATCACTTTGAAGCCGCATCCAGGAAATTCGGAGCTTTGTCGCTAAAAATATTTTCTTTGACAATTGAGGAGAGAGCGTCACATAACTCCATCAAAATCAGAAGGGATCCTTCGATAGTGTCTCATGTCTGACTATTAGAAGACCCGAATTCCCCCGTCCGGGAGCGAGCCATAAGAGTGTCACGTCTAACTCAATGAGCCGATCTGCCTGACCTTCTCGGACCTGTCACTCGAGACCTCGAGACAATTACTCGTCTGCTGTCAGAAATGAATACCACAGATGAGGATCCCTCTGACTGTCCTGGTCCTTTCCCTCACCCGTTGCCGATATACCGGTCAGCCGGATGATTCCGCATGTCGTGAGTCGCTGTCAAGCTCCTCATGTTTCGGGGATCGGCTATCGAGTTTCAGTTCTGTCAATCATTGCAGGAGCCGGAGCGATCGCCTACGCGAGGTTGGATCCCTCATTTGCGAAAACAGTCAAGGATAATGCCCCATTCCTGGAACCGGTTCTCGACGCGATCGGAGCGGATACCTCGGGTGGGGCTAGCAGTGCCCCGAAACTTCCGCCGGCGGAATCTCAGCAGTCATTGTTGAAGAGCAAACCGAAACCAGCTGAACCAGTCTTGAGGGAAGCTCCGAAGAAAGCGTCCGCTGCCAAAGGTAAAATCGATACCTCGATCCTGTCCCTCTAGCTCCGGAAGTGGACCCTGACCCCACCGACTCACCATCCCTTGAGCGAAGCATGTTTTGATTACGTATCTTTGATCACAGACGAGACTCCTAGAGCCGCTACAAGCGAACCGAAGGACAATGAGCTCCAGAAGCAGAAACAAAACTTCATTCTGGAGCAAACACTCCGTGATGTCACTTCAGCCGCCGAACGATCCTCCACGGAAGCTGCGGCTGATCTCGAACAGGCTGCGTCAAGAACGTCAGAATATGCAACGAAACTTCTTCGGGCTCTCGACGAGGCCACAGGTATGGATGGTATCGATGCTCGACATTCTCGAGGTGCCAATCTGTTATAGAGTGTATTCGGAGCATCGACTGAGTGGATGAGCTTAGGATCGACCAGTCACTAGCGACGGGCTTGAGATCGTAAACACGGCGCTCAATTTTGAAAGCCGCAGGGGGCGACGATCACTTCATGTGGAAGGAAGCAAACGAAGCCAAGGACTCACAGAGCTCTGCACAGAAGAGGGCCGCCGCGAAAGCTGCTGATGCATCTAAGGCTATCCACAGGTAAGTCCTGAGAATCGTGGGAGCGATGATCACTTGCATCCTAGAGCGTCTACATCAGTTTAAGGGGATGACGTCCTTTTCTCGATATTCGCTCGACCCCGTCATCCTGCTTCTAGAACATGCCGCTTATCTGGCAAGTCTTGCCTTCCAGACTGGAGGAAGCGATCCGTAAAGGTCGAGCAGATCCCGCGACCAAGGACAACATCAATCTGAATCAGGCCGAGCAGGCCCTCAGCAAGATGAAGAAGCGTCTCGAGACGTCGAGTGCAGTTTCTTCAAAAGCTCTGGAGAATGTGAACCTCGCACAACAGTTCGGAGACGCAATCGAAGGTCCGCCTCCAGACGTCATTTGAGACAGTCAAAAAACACGCAACATCCGTGATGACGTCCGAGAGACGTGCTTCATATTAGCTGTTTAACCAGGTCATGGAGGGCATGGGAATTATTCTTAATTTTTCTCTTGTGCAGAGAGCAAGAAACATCTCATCGAAGAGGTAAACGCTCTCTTACCGCCTGGAAAGTCATTCTCCGACCCCAAGAAACTCACCACCGACGACCTCAATCTGCTCGTCCATCACGCTCACAAGAAGGTGCGTTTTCCGGATGTTCAACCTCTCAGTCGGACTCGTCCCGCTCCCCAGAGAATATTGCCTTTCCGAGGTTTCGGCAATAACGCTGAATAATTTTGTATCCATCGCTAGCAAGCGAGTCCCGTTTTCACCGAGTCTTGTCAAGCAAGAGCTAATGACCAATTTTTTCTCGCGAATCTCCAGATTGGAATTCTCAACCGAGAACTTTCCCGTATGCAACTCACAGACGACGAGAAGGCAAAGCAGTACAGACAGCAACTCTCCGCCTTGGACAAGGAAGTTGGCAGACAGAAGGTGAGCAGCTCTGAAGGGTCTCATTGCGCGACTGGATAAACGAGTGCCCTCTGCCCCCCGCTGGCCGAGCGTTCGTGATCGGGACGGGGAGCGGCGACGCTGGAGGGTATCCACGAGGGCGGCTCGATCCGGAAAACCGGCAAGAATTTGCGCGCTCCAGTCTTGACGTGACCGTGCGAGTTGCTTTGAGGAACACAGCTCCAATGCATTATTTGATGCGAAGTCCAGCTCATCATCGGGTTGAACAGCTCCGGTCGAGCATGGAACACGAAACCGAACGACCGAAACCGGGCGACGGAGGATTTTTACAAAATCTTCTGTGCGAGAATTCGAAGGACTTCTTTTGACAGACTGATGTTTCGTTCCCAGAGCGAAGTTGCGAAGCTAGTTGCTGAGCGAGTCAGTCAAGAGCGGGAAGCTTTCGAGATCGAACTGCAAAACCAGCTCCGGAGGCAGGTGGGAGTCCACACCGAACACCTGAGAGGTGGGTTTTCGTTCGAGACATGAAACATAATGTCTCCATGAGCATACGGAACTAATCCCGCACGTTTTCCCAAGAAGTAAATAATCAAGTCGAGAATCTCAACTCACAGAGGCTTTGGATGACCAGCGTCAGGAGTTGACTCGCAGATCCCAATTGGAAGTCGAGAAAGCCCGAGAGGACGAGCGATCGCTCCAAGTCGCTCGATTGACAGATGCCGTTGAGCTTTTGCAAAAGATGGAATCATATCTTCACGCCAGGAAGCTTCTTGACGAGGCATCCAAGAAAGTGAGTGTCTTCCAATCGCAATGGATTCCCTCATTTAGTAACTTTTTCTGTATGTGCGTCGTATAGGCGATTATGTCGCGGGGAATATTCTAAGGCCTGCGATCGCTTGCTTCCCAGGCCAAATCACTCTGGCTTTCCTGTGCATCGTTAAAACACGTTCTGTCGGAAGGACGCACCGATGTCAAGAACACTCCACAATCTCTCGCTGCCGATATCATTCCGCTCAAGGAGGTTTCGGAATCTTCAGAATTCGTGAAACTTGTGCTTGACACGATCCCTGAAAAAGCCTTGAAACGAGGAGTTTATCCCGAGGTCGCCCTCAAAGAGAGATTCTATGAGGTTTGTTCTCTCCCCTCTCTCGATGAGGGAATTCTTTCGACCACACCATCCTCCCCCACGAAAATAGTTCGCAGCAGAGTCATCCGCTGGGGACCTGATTACAATTCGACGCTTCATTGCAGGTCGAAACCGCGTGTAGACGTGTTGCGTTAATGGAAGATCAAAACGGAGGAGGTCCCGGACGATACATTCTCTCGCACCTCATGTCATACTTCATGATCTACCCGAAACCCGTGCCACAGGAAGAGCTCGAGAAGGAGCAAAAAGTCAACCCTTTGATGTGGGACACCTACGACATCCTCTCCCGGGTTCGCGCCTCGCTCCAGAAAGAAGATCTAGAGCAAGCGCTGAGGTATGCCAACCAGCTAAAAGGGACGCCACGACAAGCTGCCAAGGATTGGATCCAGGAGGTCCGTCTGTTGCTCGAGACCAAGCAGGCTGCGAATGCTCTCATGGCTTACGCAGCAGCGACAGTGGCGGAAGATCTTCCCAAGCATTAGAGATTCGAATGGAATAGGGGCAAGAGAATTCCGGCGGAAGGTCGTGATGCGGAGAATCGGGCCCCGGCTGGACCTGACGGTCCATAAGACGGGAAACCTGTTGTCCTTTCAGTTACTCGTGAACCTTTTATCTCAGTTTGGAGACATCAATGATTTGATTTGGATAGGGGGTAGTTTCCGCGCTGGTGATGGATACTAGAGGGGAAGTCAGGAGGCGAGATAGGTTGTTAATAAATTCAAGTCAGCCTCAAGGATCTAGTTCTCATATCAGGTTCCACATCGTTTATTACCGCAGCGCAATCGTGATTTCGAAAACTCGTCAATCTTTGATCCGGGAGGGATCCGGTAAATCAGAAACGTTTCTCTGAGATTCCCTCGACAAATTCCGTCCCGCTAGCCGGCTGAGCGGGGTTCACCGTGAATGTCTTCCGAGAATGCACCAGTAGCTCGGAGCACACTATACAAGTTGAATTTCCTGAAATCGGAAAGAATTCATGAATATCCTGTTGTGCCCACCCGCGACGTTCCTGATAGCCGCGTGGAATTCCGTCACGAGACTTCGCAGGTTCCTTCGATGACTCACCAACCACCAGAACGATGAGTGCAATCGGGTTGAAGAGGATCCCGATATAGACGCCTACGGCTGTGGATACGATAGCTCCCGCAGCAAGGCATAGTGTCAGGAAATCTCCACTATCGTCGACCACCTACATTTTCAATTATCTTTGAGTAAAATGTTTCCAGCCTTCGAAAAGGGGAAATAAAGTCCTCCATGCTCGATGTTGCTACCAATCTGATTCTCACTTTCTGTACGAGCTGCAGTTGCGCTATTTTACCGTTTTCGGCTTGTGGTGCGCCTTCGGCGGGAGTCACTACGGCTGCTGGTGCCACGGAGTCCTGACGTGGTTCAAACTTCTTGGCGCATACTGCTGGAAAAAAATAGATGTCTCAACGACCTAGTACAGCGGAGATATTGCCGGGTTCTGGATCCGTCTGCTCGCTCGCACCTGAGACGATTGCGAAACGGGCTTCATCGGATTCGGGGCAAGAGTGTTCGCGAGCTCTTGGTGTTGATTGACAGGGTTTGCTGCTCTGCGGACGAGATTCCGTCGTGATCCGGAATTCATGGAGTCGGAACGGATTCATGAGTCCGGAAGATGAATCGGAATAGATCGTGGACTGCAATGCCCGCTTCTCGACTGATCCATGGAGAACATTCAGCTCCCGGCATCTACTCCGCTCCCTGTCCGATCCTGGTACATGGCATCGCATAACTCCGCATCGTCTCTCTGATGATGATGTAGAGGCAGTTGACGGCGGTCCTATCTGACCCAGCGGGAACCCTCTGGATTCGCCCCCTCGATACCCTACCCGGCTACGATGCCCCTACGATTGCTCCAAGTTCTGTCTCAATTATCCTTGATCCGTGACTGAACGTGGCGCCGATTCCTCAGCAGAGCGAAGAGTTCTCTCGTCTCGTCTCGGACAACTGTGGACATTCAGGGTAAGTTACCACCCTCCGCCCTTTTCGGTTCGGTTTTCGCCTCTGATCATTTGTTTATGCGCTCGAACAGCAGCGTACTCTCCAGCGCGTCGACTCCGCAACGGTTCCTAGAACACCTTCATCGATCGACGCTGCGTGGAGACTATCAGGATTTTCTCCTGTGAAAATGGCTGTCTCGCGGTATAGCTCTACACCCGCGTCCCGTCCCTCTGGGATCCAAGGAAAACCGGAGGACCCCCGATCGGTGACGATCCATATCCTCCTGATGTCGTTCCGGCGTTCCCTCGCTCACATGTGCGGAAGTTCACTCGGAGCTCCGGGGGGCTACGACAGCGTGTCTCGCTCGACCCAGCTTTATTCCTACCGGAGGGCTATCGACCAGGGGGACCGTATCGTAGCTCCTGCTCGGAGTAATCGCGGGAGTTTCGCGTGCTCCGTAGCTGACTCTTGGGAAGCGGCGTGAGTTCGATATTTCTAAAATGGAGGAATACTCACACATTGCATAAAGATGTTTTGCGACAGTCATTTTTTGAAGACTCGCTCAATCCAATCCCATCCCGCACATCGTACTAAGACGTCGATACGGTCGAACTGTGAGTCTCGCAATCACTTGTTCCCGAGCACTTCCACTCGAGTAAGGCACTAATTATTAACTCGTTGAGACAGCTCATGGAATTCCTCGGAGAACTCGAAGCGATTGGAATTACTGTTGGTTTCTGGTAGACGTCGAAGCGTCACGTCGGACAGGGCTGCTTGGCGTTTGAATCAGAATCCGAATGAGGCCTCGGAAGGCCATTCGTTCTCGTCTCATGCGAAGGTCCATCCTTCGGGAGCGGCGCTGCTGCGCAAACGATCAGATGCGAACACCACTCGTTCCGAACGAGCACGGAAGAAGATTGATACAGGGCGTACGATGACAGCCCCGTGTCGGGCTGCTTTCAGAAAACGCGCATATGCCTAACCGCAGATTCTATCCGGAGGAACACGCTTAAATTATGATTCTCCACCGATCCATGTGGTCTCTGAGTCCAATCCAGGAAGCGCCCCCGAGCCCACCGCGTCTTTCGCAATGTGGCCCGTCGCTCATCAAAACATCTATCCACGACTCTCCCCGATGGCGAGTGGGAATTTGGATCTGGAAAAGACTTCCGTTTCCTGTCATTAGGGATCAAGTTTCTGGACGGATCCAAGGTGAACACAATGCATTGTCAGACCGACTCGGTAATCCAGTGTCATCTACTAAACGATGATTCAACACTCATCCGCGAACACGAATAAACAACCACTGTGTGACGGCAATGATGACAGTTCAGGCTACATTCGGAAGCTGACGTTAGCTCCTATTTTAGCTGATTTCATGGGTTTAGCTCAATTCCAGCCCGCAGTGAAAGTTTGTGCAGCTGGGCAAACTCGCTGCGGATCTTATATGGCACGCTTGCCGGGAGAGGTGATCTGATCGCTTTGCCATCATTGGGATGACTATGTGTAGCGGGAGACCTTCGGTCTTGTGGAAACCCCTGATCACACATCGGGGATCGGGTTAACCGCGGTAGTCGGTGCAACTTTTCGAGAGTTCGCGTTCAAGCTTGAAAGTACTCGCGCACTGAACATACTTCGAATCGTCCTGTTAGGGTCCCATCCCACAATCAGACCATCCCGGGCCAAGGATATGCGAAGACGAGTTGAAGACGGATTCTCGAAATTCGGCGCATGAGGACTATATCACTATATCTAATTATAATCGGAGCGTAATTGAAACATAATTAGAAACCCACATAATTAAAACCTTTCTGACTGATAATCAAGCAAGGTCGTACGAATGATACACACAGACGCATCCGGAACAGGTTGTGCCGGCTTTCAAGGGTCTTGGATCATCTTTGGACTGATGTACGAGTCAGTCGGTGTCTTTCATCCGGGATATCCCAGCGCGACAATGGGATATATGAGTTTTCTCGATTCTGATGCCCTCCTGTTCATATTTCTTCTTTCGTAAGAGTTGCTCGTTCCTCCCGAGGAGCCAATACGCAGGTTTTTCGACCGGAGCCCGCCGGAGTTGTAGAGCCTTGAACTCGGCCACCGACAGAGAGATGGATTGTCAAGTCGGTCCAGTATTGCTGTAGCTGCCACATCGATGTTGAATAATTCATGAGCGGACGGAAAAAAAATTCTGTGCCGAACAAATCTCTTACAGTTCCACCCCGGATGGGCACTAAGAGACATTTTTAAGTTCCCTCCTGGAAAGGTTTCCAGAGCTCGGCTCGAGGCACGTACGCTCAGCATCCGGTCCTCAATGTGCGGTATCAACCCTGCATAAGTTCCGCGGCTGAAAATTTCTGCATTCCTGCGACCCGGAGAAAAAACTTGCTTCCCATTCCTCTCGCATAATTCTGGAGGGTGGCCCTCGATGATGGGGGAAGTAAATGATGAATAATAATTGATTGGTCAGAGCCCGGATAGCTAGGCTCTAGTCGTGGCCCTGCTTCGAGTCCGAGCGAAGGGTCAGAGCTCAGCCCTGAGGGAGAGGAGCGAAACGAGTCGAAAGGCATGCATCCCATAGTTTGGCTAGGTCCCGTGAACACCGACGGCCATCCCGCTGGAGCAGTCCGCGAAGAACTGGGAGTCATTGGAATGAGTCTTGTGACTCGGTTGACGTCAGGACGACACGTCGTCGGACGAGGGTGTACGGCGGTTGGACCAATATGCGACCGAGGCCTCGGATGGCCATACGTTCCCGTCGTTTGCGATGCGACGGTCTACCCTCCGGGATCATCGCTGCTGCGCAAACTGCATATGTATAACATGCGTTTGCCCCTACTTCGGATACGCGAAGACCATTGGTACTGGATGTACACACTAGAGCGGCCTTTTCCTCACCACAGATTTGAGCCGGTTGAGGAGGTCATTTACTTCTCTACGATCCGTGGGTAGGGGACGAGGTCCAACGCGCTTCCGACGAAACCTCCGTACTCCGGATCTGTAGCCCGCCGCCACAGGAACAGTCATGGTTTCCACGATACTCTTCGGGATCCAAGCCACCAGGGACGGATTGGGATCCGATGAAAGCGGAATCTCCCGAGATTCTAGGCCAGTTCGTGTCTTTGTCAGGTGGGCTAGGTGAGGTGACGGTGACTCAACACGCGTTCGCGACTACTAGTGAACAACAGGCTTGTGATCTCAATGATGGCATGGTGACCGTGATGGTGAGCTGAGTATCAGCTGATTCCGGAGCTCTGGACCAATACATATCAGCCGCCGCAGAGCGGCACATCGTCCGGATGGGCGCACTTACATCTGATAGACAAGTTTTCCCAACAGGGTGCGGTCCAAGTTCTAGCTCCTTTCCGGCTCGTTACCACTAAGACAATGGAGACCCTTGAGGGGCGCCATTCCGAGGATTGGCAACCAACAAAAAACGGCATGATCATCAGAGGATAAATGGAGGAAAATTGCGACCGGGCGGGATTCCAAGATAATGTTCCCCGATCGAGGTTAGAAATTCGCGGACTGCATGTTCCAACGCGATGAAGACCTGATCGACCATCGATCCGAGCGTCGACGATTTCCTAGGAGTCAGCGCTTGAGCAGGCGATGCGCCGCGGTGCTCGCTCGACGGGACTCATTTGAAACGTAGGCCCCCTTACCGTAGAGTTTAACCCAATTCAGCAGGTTTCAACCACGGGGAACGGATTCCTGCTCGCTAACTGCTAGCGGAGAATATCTCGTGAGCGACATGAGTCACACTCGTGTATTGTCAGTCGAGCCTCCGAGGAGAGCCCGTGAGCGTTCCCCCAGACCCCGGACTTTGTGAGTGAGGGCGGCCATGCGGCGGGAGGCTCTCATCATGTAAAACTCGGTGTCGCTCATAATTTTGGAGATGTCATCCGTCGATGCGCCGCTCCCTTGTGGCGTGGAGACCGCGTCTTCGATCGTCTTTATCAGATTCTCGAGGAAGTCGAGTTTCGCTTGGAAATTTCTTATCTGGGAAGTTGGATACTCCGATATCAATCTCGGCCAATCGCTGACCACATTTGCGAAGATTCATCGATAGCTGGCGGGAGAAGAACTTTGTATCTGCACGTTCGTGCAAAACTCACTATTTTCTCGAAAGCCCCCGCTAAGTTTCTTCTCCCAGCCGGCGAGTCGACTCCACCACGGTATCCTGTGGAAGCTATCAGCTCTCTGATTTTTTCATTGGAAGAATGGAAGTGCCCGATATTCTCCTGCGCTTGAATCAATCCCTCTTTGCAGGAATCAAGCCTCTTTTGGATGGCTCTCTCCTAATTAGATTCGTGAGATTATCAGTCAATCTCCGTATAAGTTGCGCACATTCTCAGGAATTCATGCGGCGCAGCCCAGCGAATACGAGAGCGAAGAGCTTCCTCGCAGCTCGGCATTTCTCGCTCACCGTTGAAGGAGCCTCCCATTCCGTCAATCCACGTTCGAGCTCCACCAAGGGAAAATCCAATGATTTCGCGTGTTCGGCCTTGTGAATTTCAAAAGCCTCGACGAGTTGAACTAGGACCGCGGGAAGTTCCGTTCTGAGTGCATCCGATTTCTCAAGCGGAATGCCGTCCACCCCGAGTGACGCTGGAAACGGAAAGAAAAATGGTCCCGGAGTCGTGTCCCGACGAAGATTACCGCCGGAGGACTACTGACTACCCATAAGAGTCTGGAAATCCTCATGAGGATATCCTGGCAGCTCCCAACTCTCAGACTTAGCATACAACTAACGGAAAGTAGGTTCTGGTCTGCTCTGGAAGCCCACGATCCGTCCAGGGGGGAGATCAACTCTAGGAGGCGTCTCGCGTCGCAACCCCGGACACCAGAAGGGGCCCAGACCTCGATGGGAAGTATTGTCAACCATCGTTGTCAGCGGCACACGATCGAAGGATTCCCGAAGACGCTACGATGACTGACAAAAGCGGTGGATGACTCACTGCTCTCGGGCCCGAGCCGATGCGGAATCGAACATGAACCGTCCGCGTCCGACTCGAGCACGACAGGCGAAAAACTTATTCACGAAGGCTGGATGCTTGAGGAGGATACAGAAAAACCGAGACTTCCAGTTCGAACAATTCCTCGGAGGTGCTCCAAGTTCTAAGAAGCGCAACAAGTACGTACAGGAGGATTTTAGAGATCGTGCGGGACGTTTCGAACAGGACTCACGTGGAGTACCCGCGCGGTATCGCGCACAACTTCTTCATGGAGTCGTAACTTGTCGTTCGTCAAGTTCTGCTCGTCTTCGTAAAAAGATGTGTAAATTAAAGTTACGAGGTTAATCATCAGTCTGCCGTATGCCAACAATGTTGGTGGCATATGTCGCCTATGGCAATGAAAGCGAGAAAACGATAACCCAAGAGTAAACTCTCGAAAGCTGCGCCGAGGAGCGCATTCACAAGGTGTTTTCATTCTTGCGATCACCAGGTCCTGTTTCCTGTCGATTTCCCATGAGTGATCAGCTTCCTCAGATGAGAGATCCTACAAATTCGGCGCCCAAATGGCATTTCGCCCAAATGGGATTCGCCCAAAAAGGTTTTCGCCCAAACGGCATCTCGCCCGAATTGCATTGCGCCCAAATGGCATTGCGCCCAAATGGCATTGGGCCCAAATGGCGCTGCGCCCAAATGACATTGCGCCCAAATGGAGCTCGCGCCCTTTTGACTTTTCGCCCAAATGACCAGTACCGGTCTCCCTGTTGAGTCACCTAATCTCTCCTTTCTTATAGATCCGCGGACTCTCGTGTGAGCTTTGACATCGTCGTCCACCCACTATCTGTCCGTGAGGTCCTTCTCTGTCGGCTTCGAGCTAAGCGTGAGGTCAGGGAAGTCGCAGAAGTGAGAGCATGGTGAAAAAAGTAAGGTTAGTTGGTGTGCTTTAGAAATATTCTCCAAACAGTCCTCATGTTCTGGTTGGCGCGACGCGATTCCATTCCTCATATTCTCCTTCAAGAAGCTGGCTTCCAATCGCTGTCGATGGCAGAGAAATCTTCCTCGGAGGTTGCACGGCCTTAACTTCTGGAGCAGTGGTAGGATTCGGTGAGTGGCCTTGAGAAGGCTGGCGGCCGTAAGAGCCGTGCTGGAAGTTTCCTGGGAATGAGCAGTGAATAGACTCACAGGTGAGAATATTTTTCTTCGAGGAAGCATGGCAATTCGAAGATTGGTCTGCTGCCGCGGCTCGCGGTCCAGACTTGAGGTAACTCGCCGTTTCCTCAATTCTTGCGATACATTTCGCACATACCACATGGAGAAAAGTTGTTATTCATATTGGATTAGTTTCTTCTGCTCGGCGACCACTGATACCGATTAGCCAAATGAAAAGAGTCCGGACGGTTCTATACGACGAGTGCCTCGCGCTGTTGCAGCAAGCCGGCTGAATGTGCACGGAGAATATGCATATGATGTCGTTTCGAACCAATCTATTCCTATCCATTTGTGCGCGCCCATCCATGTGAGGCTGCGCATTGCGTTCCTTCCATTTTTTTGCGGCCCCGGTTGCGGTTCGGATGTCGGAGCTCAGAAGAGTGATACGCAGGTTCATCTCCGCAATCCTCGATCTCGAATATCCGATCTAAGGCAGAGCCGAGGTCCTCTTTGGTATTTCTTCGAGAATATCGAAGAAGATTTTTGATGCCTCCATCTTGAATACGAGGTCAGGATAGAGGCATGTGCACTGCATTCTTGAGTAGTAAGCACGAAGACATTGTGAGAACTAGAAAAACTTTATTTGGGTCTTCAGTCGCCCGTGGAGCGAAGCTGCCGTCGACCTCTACATATATACGTCGAAAGGCTTGATCAGGCACGATCATGATTCATGATTACTTGTGAGAAAACCCGTTCACTCACAACAGTTGCATCATCTCCACAATCATCTGTCTTCCGTTGGGGGAAAACCACATATAACAAACAAAGATCGTGAATGATTGTCTAAGATACCATGCTCTCATCCGCATTTTACAGCACACAGATCAAGCCTCCATTTTTCCGAGCCGAAGCTTGCTTCGGGCAAGATGCGAAGTATCGTCAACCATCGTTGTCAGCGGCAGGTCGAAGGATTCCCGAAAACTCCACGATGACCTGTAGTTAGACGGAGTTAAATGGATTTAGGCGGAATTTAGGCGAATTCAGGTGAGATTAGATGAAATTAGATGAAATTAGACGGATATCGGGTGTAATAAGACGGACTTGAACGGAACTAGACCGAATCAGACGGAATTTAGGCGAACTGAGGCGAAATTAGACGGAATTAGGGCGAAGTTAAATGAAACTACGTGGAATTACGTGGACTCAGGGTTGAGGTGGAATTTAAAGTTGAATTGGAGGAAATTCAGTGTTTTCAATGTTTTCAATTGTGTTGTGTAGAGCTCAATTAGCCCGATGCCACCATGAATGAATGAATGAATGGCAACGGATGATGATGATTATGAAGATTATGATATTTACAATGATGAAGAGATCGGAGAGTCTCCGTATGATGATGATTATGTACAGAGAAACAACAATCATGAGAGATATTAAGAGAGATGATGATGATGTTTACAATGAAAATAGTAGACAATAGTGGAGGATTTTTTTCTCATTTGTAATTTCTTTTTGTTTCTTTTCGCAATCATGATTCTTTTTTTCTCATTCATATTTTTTGGGGTTGTCTTAATTTGTTTTTTCTTGTTTTTTTTCCAGTGTTTTATTTAAAAAGAAAAGATGACCAAATGAGAAAAAATGAGAGAAAGTGGCCCCCTATGCCGAGTGGTGCGCCTCGACATAGGGAAACCATGAGGAAAATCCGTTGGCCGCAATTGAAATATCCTGATTTTCAATAGAAGTAAAAAATCAGGACCAGAGTGATTCGCTCCGAGGGCCGAGAGAAAATGTCCCGCTCCCGGGCGTTATCCCACTGTGGTGGGGCAAGCTTTTCCTGAAAATAATCGGTGCCTCGAATAGCCGACCGGCTGAGAATGAGCGCATGATAATGCGACTCCCTTCAGTGGCATGGGAGAACCGCCGGTAAAGGATGTCTCCTGGTGCGTTCGTACAAACAGAATTGTTCGATCTCGAAAAGATCGGTAAAAACGGATGAAGTTGCTTCGAAGAGCGAGTCGGGATGTTCGCTTCGGAACGATATAGCCCAGGTAGTGCACATTGCGGATTTAGTAGCCATGGTGTGTGTCGTGTATGATGCGACCGATTAGAACGATTTCCAAATCAACAATGACGGGTGGCCAAGATGCGCTACGCACTCCTGCCGATTGAGAGCCGGGCTACATACACGCGCATGATTCAACTCCTTTGTGCCGCTTGGCTCCTTGTTCAAGCCGACCAAAATCTCTTTGGACTTCGAACTCGGCTTGATCGACGCCTTCAGAACCTCCTTCTCCGGTGCCGAGATGAACGCTTGTTGAATGTTGTTGTTCCATTGGGTTAAGAACATGAAGGGGAAGTTGATGGATCTCGGCCTCATAAAACGCTGTAACCAAGACGCGGAGTTCGCTCCATACGCCCGTATGATACCTGCCGCAGCATTCGCTCCCCCGGAGCACGTTGACGTTGCCATAAGTGAACTGGTGCCGGAGTTACCCGAAGAACTCATGCCAGTCCCCAAATACTTCGGAGACAACTATGTTGGTCGCCTAAGATTGGCACCCGGTAGAGAAGTATCCCGCGCCGATCCGCGTTTTCCGATCGCTCTGTGGTCCGTATACCAACGCACCCTGGATGGGGATGGCCGAGCGAACAATTTTGCCGAGGCCGCCCATCGGCGGCTGCAAGGCGAGTTCGGAGTTGACCACCCGAGCCTATGGAAATTCATCGATGGTTTGCGAAAAGCCCTGCAGGCTCGGGACGTCGACTACGGATGTTTCGTGGCTGGTCATCAACCGGACCCGAAACGCAGAAAGTATATCGCAGCTGACGAGCGCATCCTAAAGGTTGTCAATGAATACAACAACCGTATGACGATGGACTTCTTGCGGGGGGTAGCGAATAATTTCAGGATGGAGGCGTCCTGCGCGACAGGGGCTGGGGCTTTGATGCGCTAAGGCATCCACGTTTCATGTTGAGGTTTGAAACCTTCATCGTGTTTTCTTTGAGGACCCCTACCGATGACTGGTGTAGCCACTTCTTCTTGTCAAACGATGTGGTTATGATAGCCTTTGAAACGTGACTGCGGAGACGTACAAGTCTTTGTGTGAAATCAAGCACTCCAAAAAGTATCGATTGCTTTGCTGATAGGAGCAATGAATTAAAGGGCGGAAATATCATTGCCGCTCGGAAGTTGGTATTCCTCGAAAGGTCCCGTGAAGTCTTATTCATGGGGCAGAGGAGGGTGGATCGCGCTTAGTTCGACCGTAATCGGTCAGCCTGAGCGCATACGCGCACCGAGTCATTGCATCCGAGAACGGGATTACCGTTCGGAATCGACAGGTATGCAGTATAGGCACTCGATAAACTTTCTCAAGCTAGGATCCATGATAATATCGCCATACTCACTGGAAAGTGTCGGTACTCCGGTGATATCACCGCTCATGTTTTTTGACGTGAAACGTCTTCAAAATCACTGGGGGTGTTTCCACCCAATCCAGACCGCGGCCGAACGGTTCCGCGGCCAAACTTCTCGCGGCCAAACGTCTCGCGGCCAAAGGGTCGCGGCCAACTGGGGCACTCCGACCTTGTAAGAGTCTCATGCTTTAGCTCGGTTTAGCTGGACTACACCTCTGGGGAGCGATTCTGGGCCCGATCGGAGGAGCTCAATATTTCTGATTGTCAGTGAAGTGAATATGTCGCTTGTTCTCTGAGAGGTCGCCAAAGCGTTACATGTCGATCAACCTCCATCTGCGGGGAAACGCGAGGTTTCTCCGGGAACGCAACATACAGCCGGAAAGTCTCCTTCGCTGAATGAGGATCAAAAGACTCTATCCTCCTAGCACGATGGGATTCGAGCGTTAAGCTCAAAAGCGTAGCTCGGGGATCGTTTGCGCAGGCCTGAAAGTAGCCCGCCCTGCAGATGGGAATTGCTGTTGTTTGCTCAGGTCATCCATCCTGCTTTGCGCGCTTCCCTTAGAAGAATTCGGAGTGGAGGTAAACTTCACGAGGAGCAGTCTCCTAGTAGCAGTGTTGCAAGGCGAATGCTTCCCTGAGAAGGCATCATTTGGGGCTCTGCAAAATTTATTTGGCTCTCCCGATCGAAGTACAAAACGTCGTGAAGAGCTCCTCATGTGGCTCTTGTCAGAGGAGCCGTCTCGGAGACTAGCCGAAGGGTACCTATAGCGGGAGCTCTCGTTTCCGTCCTCTATCATCTCACTCGATGAGTGTTCCTTCTCGTCAGACCGATCTCTACTTCCCGAGTGGACAGATTGATCATACGTTTGCTGTCACCGTCCGTTGCGATCTCTGCGAGGATTCTTCTGGCCATGTATCCGATTCATCTCTTCACGAATTTTCCGCGATTTTCCTGGAACGAGCTCCCTGATCCATTCAGCGGACTGCAGTCCGCTGAATCGACCTATCCGGGTAGACCTTTCCGGGAACTTCTTCCCTGCATGTTCTCCTGAGCCCACGATTGAGACTCGATATCGAGTCCTCATCGTCAGCTTCGAGACTTACTTTTGACTCGGGGAACTATCTTTCCGCTGTGCCTCGGTAAGCAAGGTTTCGATTTCAGATCGACTGTCAGGAGATAGAGAACTTGCAAGTTAGTGAAAGAAGCAGCCTGTCCATCACCCGATGTTGATATCTTCCCCCCCCTGGCCCACTGCTCGAACTCGCTGGCCCATAAGCTCGGTCCCTGGCCCCGTGTTCCTGTGTGGCTTGCAATCATGTCGTCATCCCCGTTCTCCACTCACGAACAAGACAGTTCGCGGGCCAAAAGATGGAGCATTCGCTTCCTTTGTGTACAAACTCGTCTGTTTTCTCCCCTTGCTGAAAGAGAGACTGGGAACTACCACCCTAGCGAGGATAGAAACGGGCGTCTTCGTCCTATTCCGAACTCAGTCCCGTGTCCGGCCCCTCCGCCGCTTGGCTTCTTACCTCCCTTGCTCCCTCGTTCGGAGGAGGCTAACTCGCTCCTAACTAGCTTGTGCGGCTCTGGCGCGATATATAGAGGGAAGAGAGAGAGCAATGTGATCCTAATGTTAGCTCAACCAACAAGAGCGCAGCAGCTGACAGACTGACCGGCGGAGCAAGTGAGCTAGTCTCTGATTCTGTGCGAGGAGAGTTTCACAAGCGGCGGCAACGACGACGACGATGGCGGGTAACTAGCGGTCATTATTATAGCAGCAACAGAGGCACACAAGCGAGCCAGCAAACAGGCCATCCACCATGCCGTAAGTCCGCTCTCACTGTATGCGAAGCGCATCCCCATCCGGGCGAACCAATATTTGAGAGTTCGCTGCGTTCTTCTTCGAACATCCAGTCATTCTTCCCCAAACGGAATTTTTTCCCCGTGAAGAAACGCTCCATCCGTCCGGCCACCTCTCCCTGGATGTTCCGAGTACCTCAGTCGAAAGGATCGGTCGACTGACTGCGCTTGCGTCGAGCACAAGGGAGCGAGGCGGCACGATGAGTAATTCTAGATGTCTGTTTGGTACGGCCGAAAAGAACATGAAAGAAATCTCGCAAAGAGGGAGCCAGCCCGCTTAATGGGCAGCCTCACCGATGCAGCGGAAAGGCCGGGGAGGGAGGGGGCATTCATTGTATCATGCTGAGCTTCACGCGACTTCTCTTGGTGTGCCGCTCGGTCGACAACTCAGCGGACCCGCTGAAAGATGGCAAGTGACAGCTATTATGAAAAGCTGATTGTGCGCTACGTGAAGGCTGCCGCCTGTTTGGCGCTGCTAGGCGCTACAGAGGCCGAAGTCAACCTCGAGCCCGGCTTGGCCATTCGACAACAAAATGATAAACCGCCTATCGTGGTCTTGCCGAGAAGCTCGTGATTGGAAAGCATGCAGGCATTGGACGGGTTGTGGAAGATCTCGTCTGTCCTGATTTTTTGAAAAGTACCCCCTTTTCAGATCATCAAATCTTCCGAGCTAGCGAGGCATTGGGTTCGCCAAGAAGGAAACGGATACCCCGATCGGCAGGGAATCATTCATCTGTACCCGCTGATAAGCTCATGTAGCGAGGAACGAGAATCGAACAAACTGCGAAAACTCAGATGTCACTATGAATGGGAATCCGACCCCACGCGGAAGCTCCTTCTTCCAAGCCCGTTGTCCGAGCCAGGACCCCATTTCCGCGGCGCCTGTTCGTTCAATGCACACGTTTTAACGCGAACACAATACCGAAGCTACGATTTGGAGGAATTCCCCGCATGCTCTGAGCCGGATCGGGACTTTCCTGGCGATTGATCGGAACAGGTATTCCGGCTTTCGCTCGGGAGGGAATGAGGTCCTCATACTTTGGGAGGGCGGTCGCTTGACCGCTACAGAGCAGCGACCTCCCGGTCACGATCCTGCTGATGCCCACGTAAACATGGCAGTGCGGACCTTCATGCGATATCATAAGCACAGATCGCTCAAAGAGTTCGGGTATCGGTCGGTACGCATTCGCTGACCTCCACTTCTGACCAGAAAGCCGAGCAAACTCGTTTCCTCGAAGAACCTTGCTCGGCGCCAGCAAGTCGCACTTCGACGGCCTTCAAGCGACCTGCTCAGAGAGCAGAAATATGGGTTTGGAGCGATCTCCGAACCCATACCGATCGGGCCCTTGACGGGCGCCAGTATTGCTGGAACTTTGCTCGCGTATTCGACTAGGATTTTATTCACGAAATCGGAAGGCAGCGACTGCCAGGGATTCGGAATATTCGACGTGATTTATTCGATTCTGGTAGCTCTCAGGTGTGGCTGTCGTTCAGGGCCGTCGACCGTGGGCGTCGTCATCGGTGTCAGTCAGCCCACCCTGCGGGCTCTCGAGCGAAATCAGCATGCATCGAATTGGATTTGCAGATGGAGCTTGACATTCGAGGATTAGAGAGACCATAGCTCGGAGCGGGCGTAGACGTGCGCGGCATTATTCCCCGGCGATTGGGGGCCGTTTGCTTCGCGGTGTTCGGGAACGCCTCCAACTCATTCTAATTTTCCTTTCCTGAAAAGCGAGAGTATCCTTCCTCTGACCGGGATTCCGACTCCTCGGACGCTAGAATTCGATCTCTAGATGTTCGAGCTCCCTCGGACGATGAGCGAGCGATTTCCTCGGCCCATGTCCTGTCGTTGTGAAACGTCTGCCGCATCTTTCCTCGGCGACTTTTCTGTTTGCCGGGAGATTTTCCTCAACACCTGTGCTCGGTGGCCTGCCTGAGGTTCAGTCCTGAGATCGAGAGCGCAAATCAAGTTTTCCCACTGGAATGAATAGATGTTCACGCATGGCTTCCCGCCCAAGATCTGCGGTTGACATGTTTATTCCTGTTCGAATAGAAGTCCTCATAAATTCAAGCTTGACGTTTTCCACATCAGTACACTTCAAGGCGAAGTGATGGATCATCGAATGGCTGCTCGGTCGCAGTGCCTCCTTGCTCCTATGCGGTATGCGAGACCTCTGCGGTGCCAGCCGCCCGTGGGATAAATGATGGAATCACATCGGCTTTCGAGCTCGCGCCTCGGTCGCCGCAACCGATGCGGTGCCCTTCCAGGATCCTCATCGCAAAGGCAAAGGAACACGACGATATCGAGGTCGTACCGTGGGATGACGAAATCTCGGATATTCGAGGGGAAAGCCTCCACCGTCCTCCCGGAAGGAAGACAGGCGTTCCCTTCTTTGGTCTCATTTTAATCCGGCGATCGGTCCTCCATAGCAAACTGTGGTGGTGGTAAGTTGCGGTGTCGGTGTCCGTCAATTAGATGCAGCAGGAACAGCAGCAGTTGGAGGGAACCACCCTACAAATGCCGTGTGGGAGAGAAGGCGCGTCAGCCAGTCAACCAGTTCGGAGCGGCGGTTTTCCGCCATCTGCCAGTCCCCTTCGTGGCCCAATGTGTAGACGAGCGAATAATGGTCGTGGGCAACTGCTGCCGCCGCTGCCTCCACTGTAACCATCTAACAGATGTTCATATAGCCCCAAGTTTACCCCGCACCCTGTTCGTCTCCTTCGTACCCCCCCCTATACCCCTCGGTTTCTTGCCGCTCTCATAGCGAATCCCTCCTCCCCCGCGCCCGCTTTGCCCTCTTCGCCCTCTTCTCGCCGTGTTGGCGAGGGGACGTTTTTAGGAGAAGCAACGGAATGTTGTTCCACACTCCTCTCGCCGTTCCATCTACAAGTAGACTTTTGCCGCAAGTTCCAAGCTCACCAGCCGGCCAAACAGAGAGCAGCAGTCAGAGTTACTGATGAGTCTCGGATGACGAGGTCTAGCACCGCAGAAGATGTCAGCCCCGTCTTGTTCCCTCTCCTTTCTACTCCAGATTCCCAACGAAATAACGAAAGCTGTTCTCAGGGAGCAGTTTTTGGCGCAACAAGTCCCCTCAAGAATTCGGTATTTCCTCGGATTCTGTGAATTATCTTGGCTGCGATCTATTGAGCTCAATTCTACCGGGGACGGGACGATACCCTCACCCCGAGCGGGACAGGGTGTAGAGTTCTGTGAGGGACGGGATTTTTTCATCATCATTTTCATCATAATCTGGAACCTTTACCTGGAGCGTTTTTCCGCCGAAGAATCGCTCTCTAGCTCCAGGCTGTGCGATGGCTAATCCTTTCCATCGTGTCGCTGGTCAGCGGTGGTGCGGTTGCATTCCGCGTCGTCCAGTCTGATTTAGTGCATGTGACGCTCAGCCGGCACCTCTGCGTCTGCCCCTAAAGGACGGCTCGTCCTGTCATGGTTAGGCCATAAATTAGGGCATATAAAGTGGGACGAAGCCTTTTCTCTGCACCGAGGGCGGGCGGGTTCGCGTGCGAGCGGACGGGTCCGTTCGTTGGTCGGTTTGTTGGCGGACAGTCTGGTTCACCCTATCTCTCACTTGTGTGCCGGGTTAGACGGGCATGACCTCTTATCCCCTCTCGTTCGTCTGTCTGTTCATCTGTGCGAGCTTGTCCGTCTCCCTTTCAGGGGAGGGGGGGGGGAGGAGGGGGTGAAAGGCATTCTAAATGCCGACGTTCGCCAGGAGGACACTTGAGTTTAATTAAACACTTTCGCCTAAATTACGGGACTGAGCTACGGATAGAGCAGAACGAGTCAAAGAAGGAGACGATGGGGAGAGCGTGGAGAATTGGAAAAGGTCGGAAATCCAGGATATCCACGGTAGTCAAATTCCTTTCAGATACTAAATGGATGCAGTCAAACACAAAGGATCACGTGGACCCGAAGTCTCGCACCACCGCCGGGTCTGTTACTTTTTCAAGATTCGTCCCACGAAGCGCGTGACGTATCGTTGAATTTAAACACGTGTCCCGTTGACGAACACTTCCAATTGACAAAAGCCGTCGCCTATTCCCATTCGGGGACTTATGAATTGTAGAATGTCTCTGTCCCCAATGAGTGACTCGTCGGCTCTTGTCGGGGAGCAACATATGTCCCTCGCGTGTCTGAAGCCAGCAGAACCAGCACGATTCTTTCTCCGCGTTCTCGAAAACGAATAATCGACATTCGTCTTTCTTGTGAGTTCCTAGCTCCTTCGATAAGCTAACTCGCCGAACTCGCGCGGATAGCTGGCACCGTCCGATCCTTCTCGAAGCGATGAGTTGCGCTTCTTCTGACTTTTTCGGAATTCGCACTAGCTGGGCACACGCTGGAAGTGGAGCCCAATCCCCCCGTAGGGTCAAGTGATCTGCCTCTATCTACGGATAGTACCATCGCCCCTCGCCCTGGGCGAGGAATCGTTGCTCGCTGAAAATCCCGTTGTCTTTTCGAGGTTGCGTCCAATTTACGATTTCCATGAGACACATCTAGTTTCATTCATAGCTATCATCCATGAGTCACTCTCTGCAACAGACGACAGATGCGACGGTGATTTGAAGTGCGTGCTCTTCGTTTCCTTATTTCCCCCTCCGGGTGACTTTGTTCGGGACGGGGGCCGCCGGCTTACGCGCTGGTGTTTATCCTCGTCGAGTAAGCAGGTTCCGATCTGCATGAACGAAGAAATCCCTCGAACGCTCTCAGTGCACCGCTCTCTCTCCCCCTATATTCCTCGAGCGTTTGCTGGTCAGGCTTCCTCCCCGAGGCTTTGATTGGCTCCCGGAGTTAAGCCGGTTAGCGAGCGGATGACGGATAGTTCAGATTGTGGGAAAAGTCTTTTTTCGTGCTGCAGCCACAGCATTCTTCTCTCGCTCAATGAGAATCGCCTGCTGGAGGGTAATGCAATTTACGATCAAGTCAGCGCATTGTCGTCCTCGATCGACCGTGGTTTCTCTCGGAGCGGAAAATGGAAACACGAACTCGAGAGGCCGGAGTGACACTCGAAGGCGATCGTGACAAGGTCGTCCCCGTCAACCGATGTCCCACACAGCATGGAACCCTGTCAGGTTCAGCATTTTTCCCTCCGGATGGAAACATCAGAATCTAGCGACTGGATCGGAGTGCCCTCAAGCTCCGCACATGAGGGACGTATCAAATGAGGGATTCCCTTATACATATATATAGGTGAATGTCCCTCATTGTACCCAGCTTATATGGGTACGATGAAGGACATTCACCATGAATCAGTATGTTAAGATGAGGAAGTTGGCTTCCAACGTGGAAATTATGAGGAACGGAAGCTCCCCAACACGCGGTACTCCGAAGTTCGTATTTTCTCTCAGCAGAGCGATTTTCTCCGAGGCCTTTGCCAATTCATCTGGAATATTTCGACCGCTGTGAGCGCCTACAAGGAATCGTCGATACATCTTCAAGAAATCTCCACAGAAGTCTCCAACTTCTTGTCTGCTCAAGAACTTCATTACCCGTCGAGAGAATTTTTATGTTCTCATTCAGGTAAGTGCGGTTGAGGT